GATTTCGGAATAAAAGTATTCCGGATTTCCAAATAACGGGAATTTCCAAAAGGTAATCGAAATTTTTTGAAAAAGAAGATATTCCCGACTTTCAACAACGAAATTTTGAATTTTCAGAAGAAAAAAGAAATCGGAAATTTCAGATGTTGCGCTATTGCGATTTTCCACAACAGAAACAGTGAGAAAACAAAATTTGTAATGACCCGCCATAACACAGACTGAGAACACTGCTGATTTCTGAAGTTCTGTCGATGAAATGGATGCCTTGCTGAGATTCCCGCATTCTGCTGTGTTTTCTAAGTCTGTATGTGTGCGTGCCTGTCTGAGTGCTTGTTGGCATGAGTGTGTGTGTGACCCGCAAGGGTACTTGCTTGTAGGGCCGGTACTTACCTGTGGCCGTGGCATCGAGGGTTGCAGCAGGGAAACACTCAAGTAGTGGAGCCAGGGGCCCCCGGTGCTTAGAGCAGCGGAAAAACACTCAAGTAGCAGGTAGGCTGGTACCGCACCCAGTAGCAGTAGATGTGCGGTACTCGAGGACGAGCAGAAGAAGACAAAGTTGGCATTTTTAGAGGCCCAGTAGCGGTAGGCTAGGTCTAGGCCGGTACCAGCCTGTTACGAACTTGGTTGCCTGGCGAATTTTATCGCCACTCACACACAAACAATCTCACACATGCCCATACATGCATAAGAGAAGGGGAGAGAAGAGACAGAGTCCAAACTGCACACAGGTGAGAATGAGCAGCGGAAGACAATCATGCACAGATGGGAGAAGACACACAGTGTTTCTCACTCTCTGACACAACTCCCAAGAACCAATCACAAGAAAGAACCTGCGAAGATCACAATTGGAATTCACACTGATGATGAACCACTCAAACAATTATCGTAATCTTGTGATTACGATAATTGTTTGAGTGGTTCATCATCAGTGTGAATTAACAGAGTCTGTTCCAGTATCTCGCCACTCTCAGAACTCACACCACTCTCTATCTGTTGCATACTGTAACGCGCAGACCAGAACAAGAACCGACCTCTCAATACAAAGTGCAAGATAACACAGCAGAAGACTTAGATACCAGTGATCCGAACAATCAATATTTCAATGCAGTCCTAAACATACATCATCATCATCGTTACATGGTGTGAATGGGGTCTGGCACTTCACACAGGAAGACTGCGCCAGCCCATACCATACACAAACGAAGAAGAAGGGGATAGACGAAGAGAAGCGGAAAGATGGGAATGTCGTCAACACCAAGTCTTCGGCACAGGCCCAAATAGTCCCTCGTCGAAATGTCTGAATCCCAAATGTCAATTCTGGATCCAATGTCGTCAAGTCTCCAGTCACAACTCTGTCTCTCTCTGTCGTAGTTTGAGAAGTCAGGTGGTGAGAGGGTGAGAAGAGATGGTGGACTTAGAAGAGGAAGAAGAAGAACTCTCTCTCTCTCTCTCTGTGTCCAGTACTAACCTGTGAAGTTGGTGCCTTGATGCAGGTACTTCGCAGATGGAGCTGGAGCGATGGCGCCACAGGTAAGTACCACTGGCCTCCGCCACTATCTCTCCCACTCTGCGATCTACCACCTACCAGCGCCCAGCGCTGAAGACTACTGCTATGGCTATGGGCGCCCAGCGCCGAAGACTACACCTAGCGCTGAAGACTACTGCAGCGCTCCTCCTGAGTGCTGCGGCCGAATCCTGAAGACTGCTCGTGCCTACTGACAACTACCTACCCGTGAAGTGCATGGGAACCTCCTATGTACTACCGGGTGTGCCTCCTGACTCGGGCAAGCAGTCCAGGAGGCTGCTCTTGCCAATGCCGAAGGGAGGCAGGGGCTGCAGCTGCAGCTCCTGTTCGAGCTGGCGTGGGGAACAGGCTATTTCTGGCCTGTTCCCGAAACCCTGTTTCTGTGCCTGAGTCTTAGGTAGTAGGTCGAACACAATGAGGGCCTGAAAATGGCCCTCCGTTTCAGGCTGAAAAGCCTCTGGGCCTGAAAGGCCCAGAAATAGGCTGAAAACGGAGTAGGGCCTGCAGGCCCTCGTTTTTCAGCTTTCAGGCTGAAACGACCGGGGCCTGTAAGCCCTATGTTTTAGGCTTTTAGGTTGAAAGTGTGGGACGGGCCCTGCAGGGACCGTGTGGCTACGCAGTATGCCACACTATCCTACACCCAGTTAGTAGTGCCACATCAGAACAGCCTCCCAAAGGCCAGCGCCAACCACCCTGATGAAAAACAGGTCCTGCGATGAAGTCTTCAGTGGAGATGGACAACTCTGACGACGGAACAGGCAGCTATGGCTGCCACCACCCACGAACACACACTGTAGAGCCTCGACGTAGCCCGGCCATATGCAGATACCCCAGGGCCGCCTATGGTTGCTGTCAACGGCGAGTCTCAGGATGCCCCCTGCAGACAGATACCGCCACCAACTTGCTTGGCTTCTCCAACGCTGCTTCGCGAGAAATGAACTGCCAGAAGTCCTGAACCGATGGGCCTAACCTATCTATAGACTACCTAGACCTAGACCGGACTGACTGACCGACCGGTACCGTTGCTGTTTCGGCCTCTCGGCCTCTACCRGACCCGGCTATAGGCTATAGGACCGTTTAGCAGCATAGGCCGCTTAGGGCCTGTCTGTCCTAGGGGTAGCCCGGGCCTGCTATAGGCAGTTAGGGTAGATGTAGGAATTCGGGTTAGTGCTGGGCCTATATTTTCCCAGATTTGCAGATATGTCCCTCACGAATTTCCTTACAGGCAGGTCTCTCGGTTAGCCCTCAGCCAAACAAAATTACAAATCTAACCCTATTGGTTAGTGTACAGCCTCGCAGTCAATCTCGGCAGTAGAAATCAGCAAGTCGTTGCAGGCTTACCCTCCCCGGGAACGAGGAACTCCGAGCTAGGGATGTAGGCGAGGTGAACGGCGAGGAAGGTTGCCCTTCTGAGCCGCTTCATGTCGCAATACAATGGACTTTGCTGTCTTGAGCAGGTCTCTTCTGTAGAACCACCTGTTCTCAGGAGGAGGCTGGAATGCAAACCTGACAAGATACTGCAGATCGGGGCCTGTGCCCCACTCATCCTCAATCCTGTCAATGTCATATCCCTTACCAGGGACTGGCGGACCAAACTGAGGGGGCCGGTCTGAAAATGCATCAGCTGGAGTGAAAGGCAGCAGCTTAGATGCGTGGAAGACCGGGTAAGTGCGTAGATGCAGCAGGACGTCGATGTCATATGACGGACCGAAGGGATCAGCGCCCACTGTATCTAGGACCTGCCATGGACCCAGGTAACGTGGCAACAGCTTGGGGGAGATATCCTCCTCCCTCGACAGCTCAGAACTGGCTACCCAGACATGATCACCAGTGCGGATGGGGGAAGGCCGCTTGTGGCGATTAGCTTGTTCAATCATAGCCTTTTGGGGCTTTGAACAGGTTCGCGCGGGCTCTTTCCACATCTAAACGATATCGTCTGGCGAACTCTGTTGTGCCTGGTGTCAAATCAGGCTTAGCCTTATCAATGATATCATCGAGAGGCTGTCGTAGTTCACTTCCCCAGTGTAACCGGTAGGGATTGAACCCTGTCGAGGAGTGGATAGACATGTTATACATGAGTTGTGCCCTCCCTAAGTGAAGATCCCAGTCCTGTTGATCTGGAGAGATGACAGGACGCAGCAGCTGGAATAAGACTTGGTTCATCACTTCAGCCAAACCATTGGCTTCAGGATGGTGACCAAAAGTCATGTCCAGTCGTGAGTGCAGATAGTCTTTACAGTAGGACCGCCACTCATCGCTGCAAAATCTGGGGTCTCGATCACTAACAATAGAAGTGGGCGGTACATGGTGTGTGACCCACCTCTCAGAGAAGGCTGCTCTCACAGCCGGTACTCTCGCTACCTCTGGCAAGGGGATGAACTCTGCATATTTGGAGAACCTGTCCACGCAGACCCATAACCTGACGCATGCCACGAGGGGTGGTCTTGCCTAAATCTGTGAAGTCTATCGACACAGATTCAACAGGGCCATCAGGTATGGGTAAGGGTTTGAGCAGTCCCAAAGGAGGTCTACGTTGGACCTTGTTCCTTTGGCAGAGCTCACAGGTGTCCACATAACGCAACATATCACTCCGCGTCTCCTTCCAGAAGAAGCGCTGCGACAGGGCTGCATAAGACTTTAGGAACCCAAAATGTCCACGGGCATCATGACACTCTAACATCAGCAGTGTCCTGAGCCGCTGGTCCAGGGGAATGCACAAGCGCTCCTCACCTCTGCTGCAAGTGTACAACAGATCTGAACTCAGAGCATACCCTGGTTCAGAATTAGGATCTGCTTGCAGATTCTTGACAATGGGTCCAAAAGTCTCGTCCTGAGGCAGTAGACGAGCAATGGTCTCGGGTCTCCTCTCCAAAGGAGTGAGTAGAGGAGATCAACGCAAAAGAGTCAGGCCTACGAGAGAGGGCATCTGCTACCTTGCTGTAGCATCCCTTCTTGTGCTTCAGTTCAAAGTCAAACATGTCTATGAACTGAATGTACCGTGCTAGTTTGTCATTTAACTCTCCCTAGGATTTCATCCACTGCAGGGTGGAGTGATCTTAAAAGATCTTGAAGTGCCTGCCCAGGAAAAAGTGCTTCCAGTGTTTCAGGGCACAGACAAGAGCATATAGCTCTTTCTCGTAGGTAGAGTCCTGGAGCTTTTGGGTCTTGATCTTCTTACTCATGAACTCTACTGGCCGTAGACCATTCCCATCATCCTGCTGAAGAACTGCCCCAATGCCATACTGACTGGCGTCAGTGGTCAGGATGAATGGCAAAGCAGGGTCAGGTAACTTCAGCACAGGCGCCGAGTCCAGGGCTTCTTGAGTCGTGTGAAGGCCAACTGACAGTGGAGGGACCAAAGAAAGGGAGTGCCCTTCTTTGTTAGGTTAGTCAGGGGTGCAGCCACTGCAGAAAAGTTCCTGACAAACTTTTTGTAGTAGGAGGCTAAACCCATGAAGGACCTAACATCCCTCACTGTCTCAGTCTGAGGCCACTCCTGAATAGCAGCAATCTTGGCTGCTTCAGGAGCCAGGCCATCTCCAGAGATTACATGGCCCAGATAGATGACAGAGGGAACTCCAAAGGAGGACTTCTCTCTGTTGATCTTATACTGGCTGTCACGTAATGACTGAAGGACAAGAGCCAAGTGCTCCGCATGTTCCCTGGCAGTTTTGCTGAATACCAGGATATCATCCAGGTAGACAACCATAAACTTGTCCAGGTAAGGCCTGAAGATGCAGTGCATCTCCGTCTGGAAGGTGCCTGGGGCGTTGCAAAGTCCAAATGGCATGACCAGGAACTCGTAAGTCCCATACCTGGTCTTGAAGGCTGTCTTGTAAACATCCTCCTCTGCCATCTCAATCTGGTGGCAGCCAGATTTGAGGTCGACTTTGTTGAACACTGTGCAGCCCTGCACCATGTCCAGGAGGTCGTCGATCCTAGGAAGTGGCTCAGTACTCTTCCTAGTGATCTTATTGAGACCCCTGTAATCAATGCACATCCTGAACTCGCCGTTCCCTTTGGGTACAAAGAGAACAGGTGCACCAAATTCAAATGTGTTGGGTCTGATCCAACCTTTGCTGGTTAGGGTCTCAAGCTGCTTTCTGAGCTCCTCAAGCTCAGCAGGGGACATCCTGTAGATGCGGCCCTTGGGAGGGACCGCTCCAGGCAGTAGCTCGATGTGATGCTTGGTTGGCCAGTTGGGTAACCCAAAGGGCTCCTGCATCAGATCAACATGCTAATCTACCACCTGTTGTATCTCAGGAGGACAAGAAACAGGGGGAGCATCTGTTTGCTTGACCAAAGCAATAAACAGACGCTCATGGTGGTACTGGCGTGAGAGAGCATGAAACTCCCTCGCTCTCAGGCAGTAGCAGGAGGTCTTACGGTGGTGACCAGCAGCAATCATGCATGGTTGATATACACCCTGGCTGTCTGGTAGTTCAACTCTAGGGATCTGGCAGTCGATCCTAGGGTTGATTGCCCTCAACCACTGCATGGAGAACACCAAGTCAAAGGGAAGCTCAGGGTAGATATAAAAGTTCAGACTATGTCTGACTTTTCCAGCAGTATCGAAGGTCACAAGGATACCCTTGACCTTCTCCTTGATGCTGAGCACTATAGAGTCACCAATCCGCACCAGCAGCGGTTGCTGCAGCTGCTGAACTTCCATGCCCAGGTGCAGCTTTTTAACTGCATTGGGGGACATGAAGTTCCGGGTGGCCCCAGAGTCCAACAGCCCAGTGATCCTGGTGCTGTTGATCAGTGGCCGAAGCATGATGAGATCAGTCTTGCTCTTCTTCTTTTCCTTCAGATAAAGGAAGAAGGCAGCAATGGATTGTAGCTCATCCTGCCCCGGGTCCTCATAGCAGAAGGATGCTGCCTGCGCAGTCCCCACACAAACATCACTAGCACATGCAGTCTCAACTGAAACAGCTGCAGATTCACCTACCTGAGTAGATGAAGGTGCAGCACTGGGGGGAACTGCAGTCCCCAGGGTCTATTTCAGTTTTTTGACTGACTACCTGGGCCTGGCATGTAAGGGCAGTCCTTCAGGAAGTGTTGTCCCTCACATCTCAGGCAAACCCCTCTTTCCTTTCTTCTTCTCCAGACTCCCTCCTGGATCTTGAGGTCATGCCAGGGAAGTGTGGAGGGATTGAGAGGTTCACTTGGCATATGGACGTCTCTGGGCAGATTAGGGCGCTGGGAAGAGGAAGGCCGACGTCCCTTTTCCTTCCCCTTGGCACTGGTTGAGGCTGTGGTGGGAGAGAACTTCTGCAGTTACAGGCTCCCAAAACAGCCTGAGTCACGACTGTTGTAACATCTGTCTCAGCAGCTGATCCGGTCCCACCTGAAGGTGCATCAGGCTGGGAATCGGAATCTGATCCTGAGGCAGACCCCGCATGAGTAAAGGCTGCCTTTCCCCTTCTGCCACCTCTGGGGAAGGCACCTTTCCTCCTATCAGAGGATGGGGCCTGGACATGGAGCTTGGCCTCCATTTCCAGGGCTGCACGGCCGAAGGACCTCCAGTCCTTGTGCCCAGCGCTGTACAAAGCAACAACAAACTTCTCAGGCGCTGCCCTGCAAAAGTTGGTCAGCAAATCATCAGAAGACATGACCAACCCAGGGGTGGAGGTTGGCTGCTCGAACTCAGCAAACAAGGCCTGCAGGGTGCCGCTGTACTGCTGCTGTCCCAGGCGAGGAATCTTGTCAGCAGCCTTGCGGGCCCGCTCCTTATCTCAAACCGGTCCTCCAGGGCCTGCAGAAGCTTGTCTACCCCAAGGCCAAAAGCCCAGTCCTCCATGGACTGCTGCAGGCTGCTGGAAGTTGAAGTGGCCCACTTCAGTGCAGGCCCTTCCAGCAGACCCAGAACAGTTGCCACCTTGGTCTATTCTGCACAGACAAAGCCCCTCAAGTAGGCTCTGGTCCCAGCAGCCCACTCCCCAACATCGGTCTTGGGGTCATCACCCCTAAACTTGTTGGGAGCACGGATCTTGGGACCTCTTTGGTCTCCTGCAATCACAGCAGCATAGGTGGCCTTTCTTGAGGCCTTTTGGGAAGGGGTAGATGACCGGGAAGAATGTACAGAACCAGCATGGGATGCATGTGGTGAGGAAGGGGATGAAGGAGGAGGAGATGGTTTGGGTTTTAGCAGAGGGGGCTGAGGGGCTGTCAGCTTGGCGGATGCCAGCTGAGCAGTCAAGTTCCGGATAGAATCCAGGATCTTGGACTGCTGAGCTGACAGCTCGTCAACCCGATGCTCCAGTCTCACAAAGCGATCATCCCACTTCGTGAACTGGGAGCTGGTGATCTTGTGCTCTAGCAGGATCATCTCTGCCATCTGCTTGGTGACCTGGGAGCAACAATCATCTGTGAGCGCTTTGTCTAGCTGCTGCAATATATATTCTCTTCTGGAATGATCTGTTGCAGCTTCTAGCTCAGCTGCCTCCTGCTGTTCCAATTCTGCAAGTCTGGCCTGTTGCTACTGCAGCTGTTCTTCCAGCTCCTTCTTCAACCGCTGAGTAGCAGTCAGAGGTGGAGGAGGAGTAATGGAGGCTGAAGGCTGTTCACCTTCCAACTTCATCACCACTTCCACCTGTGGCTGCTGTTGAGCTCCCTGATCAGACATTTTCCCGGTTCCAAAATAAAACCAAAAAATAAACTGACAGCAGACAGAGTATGCAGCGATGCTCAGATTCCTTCAAACACCCTGGAATCGCTGCAATAACTCAACACCGGAATAGGTGGCTGTACAGGCAATGAACGGTTTGGGTTGGAAGGGTGTCTCTGGGGTCAGGTGTCAAACAGACTGTAAGTCCAACAAAATCAGTCACACGATTTCCTTTTACTGACCCTGGACCACACTGGAGTTAGTAGACTCACTCCACTACTCTTCCAGAGACCCACTGGATTTCCCGTACCCACTAGAAAACAAGTGTCATCAGTGAGAAAGATGGAAGATGATTAGTACAGACAAGAGAGATCAAACACAACAAGCGATTCAGACAGAGACCCTGTACCCTGACTCAAACTCAATTTTAGACTCAGATGACTCTGGCGGCCATACCCTAGGGTATGGCGAATTACAGTTTTCACTGTAACCAGTGAAATACTGCAAATCCAATCTTGCGATTCTACAGTATTGCCTATTTTTGGATTGCGATGCACTGGGGACTGACAGAACTGAATTCTGACGGACAGAATTGAAGTTATGACTGACCCTAGGTAGCACAGGCTAAAAATAGACTCAGCGCAAAACTGCAATTCCCAGTATCACTACCTTTCCAGTGCAGAATTCACAGTTTGAGCATCCCAGAATAATCGCAATGCAGTATGGCAGTCACAAAACAATTTTGGATCAGAAAGAGTCAGCAGAGGGTGAGAAATGAGCAGAGAAAGAAAGGGAAGAGATGGCAATGGCTGTCATGCAGTCTGCGATTTTCACATCCAGTCACTGGCAGACACATAGACCATTATAATGAACTAAACTAATACCATCTGGATCGCAATACAGGTAGGTGCATGGAACAGACTCACTTCCAAAGAATCTTGCAGGTGATGATGAAGATCTGGCTATGGCTGATGATACCCTTATCTCGCCACTTTCTTCCAGATATTCCTCCTGTTAGTCCCACACACAGAACTGTTTCAAATTCGATGATCCTCCTCAGGATCCTGTAGCGCTGCACCCCCTCACTCCAGATACCCTGTATCTGGTCCTGTGGCGCCCAATATGCCAACACCAAAATATCTCGCCACAGTGCTTGGTAGCCGCCGATGCTAAAAATAGGCCCAGATGGGGTTATCTCTCCACGAGATTGATACAGACTGTCAATCTCCCTCAGCGCAACCCAGGGATGATGCCGCTCAGGGTTCCCTGATGTCCTCAGGGGTAATCCGCCCCTCTGGGGTAATTCGTAGTACTACCCTCAGGGTTGGGCGAATAAGCCCTATACTCGCCACTTCCTGACAAGCTCGGTGCGCTTGCTCAGTACTACCACTGAACACCTGAATCCACCGCTGAAAGTCTTCTTCCCTGCTGACTCAGTACTGGGGAAGATGAATCGCCATGAAACTCTCGCCAGTATGTTGCCAGATGAAGAAGATGCCTCAATGCGCTCAACCCTCAGTGTTCCAATTCCAAACACGCTCTGATACCAACTGTTATGAACTTGGTTGCCTGACAAATTTTATCGCCACTCACACACAAACAATCTCACACATGCCCATACATGCATAAGAGAAGGGGAGAGAGGAGACAGAGTCCAAACTGCACACAGGTGAGAATAAGCAGCGGAAGACAATCATGCACAAATGGGGAGAAGACACACAGTGTTTCTCACTCTTTGACACAACTCCCAACAACCAATCACAAGAAAGAACCTGCGAAGATCACAATTGGAATTCACACTGATGATGAACCACTCAAACAACTATCGTAACAGAGTCTGTTCCAGTATCTCGCCACTCTCAGAACTCACACCACTCTCTATCCTACACCCAGTTAGTAGCGCCACATCAGAACAGCCTCCCAAAGGCCAGCGCCAACCACCCTGATGAAGAACAGGTCCTGCGATGAAGTCTTCAGTGGAGATGGACAACTCTGACGACGGAACAGGCAGCTATGGCTGCCACCACCCACAAACACACATTGTAGAGCCTCGACGTAGCCCGGCCATACGCAGATACCCCAGGGGTAGATGCGCTGAGGATGCCCCAGCTATGGAAGACTCAGGCTGGGCCGGCTATGGTTGCTGTCAACGGCGAGTCTCAGGATGCCCCTTGCAGACAGATACCGCCACCAACTTGCCTGGCTTCTCCAACGCTGCTTCGCGAGAAATGAATTGCCAAAAGTCCTGAACCGATGGGCCTAACCTATCTATACAGACTGACTGATCGACCGGTACCGTTGCTGTTTCGGCCTCTCGGCCTCTACCGGACCCGGCTATAGGCTACAGGACCGTCTAGCAGCATAGGCCGCTTAGGGCCTGTCTATCCTAGGGGTAGCCCGGGCCTGCTATAGGCAGTTAGGGTAGTTGTAGGAATTCGGGTTAGTGTTGGGCCTATATTTTCCCAGATTTGCAGACATGTCCCTCACGAACAGGCAGGTCTCTCGGTTAGCCCTCAACAAAACAAAATTACAAATCTAACCCTACCGGTTAGTGTACAGCCTCGCAGTCAATCTCGGCAGTAGAAATCAGCAAGTCATTGTACCTCCTCCCTTTCGGAGGGAAACATCATTGCAGACTCTAATATTGCCCGTACAGGCTCTAGACTCAGACTGGATGGGCTGGTACCGGCCTAGACCTAGCCTACCGCTACTGGGCCTCTAAAAATGCCAACTTTGTCTTCTTCTGCTCGTCCTCAAGTTCCCGGCACATCTACTGCTACTGGGTGCGGTACCGGCCTACCTGCTACTTGAGTGTTTTTCCGCTGCTCTAAGCACCGGGGGCCCCTGGCTCCACTACTTGAGTGTTTCCCTGCCGCAACCCTCGATGCCACGACCACAGGTAAGTACCGGCCCTACGGGCCTACCAAACAAGCAAGTACCCTTGCGGGTCACACACACACTCATGCCAACAAGCACTCAGACAGGCACGCACACATACAGACTTAGAAAACACAGCAGAAT